TGCACAGGTGTCTGTCACTAATTCCTTTTAATTGCTGAATAGTATTCCATTGCATGGATATAATAATCACTTGATCCATTTACTAGGTGATGAACATCTGAATTGTCCCAGTTTTGGGCTTTAATGACTAATGCTGCTATAAATATTTACATGCAAGTCTGAGGGGCCATGTGTTTTCATCTCTTTGGTGGGTCCCCAGAAGTGGCATTGCTGCACTAAATTGCACCCTTCTGGGGACTGAGTGGTGTGTAAGTGGGGTTCTCAGAGATGCACCATGTGGAGCAGCTCCTCGAGTGCTTATTTGCTATCCCTGCATCTCTGGTGAAGTCTTTTGTTTCCATGATTTCCATTTAGTGACTTGAAGGACTCAGTCAGTTACACTCATGGCAGGAGATATGACAGGGCTAGCCTGGGGAGACATATGTCAGTTGGGGCCTGGAGGACTGCAGGTGAACTCCTTCCTGGGGTGGGGTCCACACAGAATATCCTTCTTCCTCCAGCAGTGAAATGCAGTGCACAGTGGCCATGCCAGAGAAGCCCTTTGGGGCTCGAAACCCGGGCTTTGGATCGTGGACCCTGGTGTAGGCATGTCCAGCCAGGTTACCAAAATTCCAGACACCTAGACAGAAAGCAGATGTTCGTGGTAAATCTCATTGTTTGTACAGACAGTCTAGGCAAGCTGCACAGCAGGATTCAGTGCCCCAGGCAGACAAAACAGCCTTATCAGTTAGAAATGTAGGCTATATTCCAAATGCCATGTCTTGCTGCCAGCCAACGGTCAGCATTGAGAGCAGGCCGGTCTACAAAAGTAAACTCCTGCACATGTCTTGCCAAATCCTTGCATCATTTTAAAATTGTGCTTTTTAGTCTTCTTATTTTTGAACTGTTAATATTTCTTTACCATATCCTAGATACTAGTTATTTATGAAGTAAACATTTTGCAAATGCATTGTCTGAGTGTGTGGTTTGTTTTCTATTTTCTTCATAGTGTCTCTTGAAAGGAGTTTGGGTAGGGAGTTAACATGGGCAGATTTGCACGCACACACACAGACACACACACAGACACACAACAGCTTCACTCCTATGTGGAAAATGCACTGCTGGGGTGAAGAGTGGATTGGAGGTCAGGATTGAAAGTTGACAGGAAGAATGGAGAAAAGAAAAAGAATAACTATAAGAAAAAATCAAAATCAATAAACAACTATGAACCAGAGACACACTATGGGGGAGGTGGGGAAAGGAGGGTTTGGGGTCAAAATAAAGGGGTTGCAATTGTATGGGGAATATAAAAATAAAATTTTTAAAAAGACATAAAAAAAGAGGCTGCATGTGAGGATGTGGAGAAAGAAAGGCTGACAATGTGTGCAAACACACAGCATGGATTTCCCACAGGAGGAGGAAAGGTAGGGCTCCTTGAAAATTTGTCCACAGAACACAGTATTATTATTGTTATTAACTCCTACTAAACTGTGGGATTTTAGTGTTCTGATCATTTGGGAAAGGTGGGACCAGATGAACTTTAGGGTCTCTTCTATTTTCAATCTATGATGGCAGGAACAAGCTTGGAGGGTTATTTTAACAATTTTGAAATATTCTGAGCTGTGCACCTTAGTGCGTTATTACAGACAGTTTATTAGTCATACATATGTGTATCTATAAAACTGAGATTTGATCCAATAATACTTTCAAGACGGGAATTGAATAGTCTATGCATGGAGACCTTGCAAAAAGTGAAGGCAGAAACACTTAGAATAATACAGGAAGTGCGAGGACAAGAATAAGAAAATTCATATTCATGTATTAACCCAATTACCAAACGTACCTTGCAAATCCAAAGCACTATGGGTTTAAAATGGGATTTCATATCATTCTCTCCCAAGTGACACAGACAGTATTATAAATGAAAAATTCTTTCCTCAGGCTGGGCGACAGAGCTCCTCTCACTTGGGCAGCATATACTATCACAGGAAAAGCTTTATTTAAGGCTGGAAATTCTATTTACCCAGGAGCCCAAACCACTGTTTTTCTGTTCTTGCAAAATAAACAAAACACCCTGGCAAACTAGATGCAAAGAAGGCCCGAGGGAATGGAAAGGAATGTGAAATCAGGTATGCAGGTCAGTGTCAGTGCAATAAATCAGGAGCACAATGGTGAGACATAGTTTCTCTTCTGATACTAAAAAAGGGAGGCTACATGAATCAACCAGACAAAGGGAGAGTACAGAAACTGGGATATATATGTCTATGTATATCTAAAACCTACTTTATTAGCTATACATATACACACACACATGCATATACATTTACACATACTTAGATGTAATTATAAAGGTTTTGTGGTGGTGTTGTATTTCAGAAGAACACAATGCAAAGGCTCAGAAATGGATGTTTTGCTTGGTGGGACCACACGATACAGGCAGGAATCAGAGATGACAGCATCTCCTCCAGTGCAGGTGGGTCCAGTGTCCTGAGCTTATGGTAAGGCTGGACAGAGAGATGGTGGCATGAAGGAATGCCTGGTGTCAGGTGTACACTGTAATAATAAATCCCTTTTCAAAAGAGGTGATGATTAAATTAGTTGATCATGTTGCTCATCTTGCCTTCTGCTGCCTCAGGGCCTTTATACATGCTGTTCATTCTACCTGAAAGCCAGTGGCCTCCATCCATTTCCAAGTCTGGTGAATTTATCTCCAGGTCTCAAATCTATGCTTTCTTCCCTGCTACCCACACTCAGCTTGATGTTTTATGGAGTCTAAACTCTGTAGAACTTTGAAGTCCCCTTTAAAGAAAGAATAAAAAACACCAGTTTGAAGTTGGATACCCATCTAAGAACCCCCCTCCAGGGTACTGGAAAGGGTCTGGGCGTGTGACAAACAAGAGCCTCAGCTTCATCAGCTTTGTGGTGATACTGCAGCAAGATTGTCAGAGCATGAAGTGTAATTGTCATCGGTGCCTCATCAGAGTTTGTAATCGTGTTTAGTTTTGTGGATATTTACTTCCCATCCATCTTCCCGCGGCACCATAAGCTTCTTGGAGCGAGACTATTTTGCTCATCATTGTGCTCTTATATGTAGTTTAGGCACTTATGTGAGGTCCTCAATAAGCATGATTTGCATAAATGAATCCTGAACTGTGATTCATATAATTATAAAAATCATAATCATAAGTCTACTAGCTTCCCCTCATAGTTCAGGCCCTGGATGTCAGGACTGAGGGTTCAGGGTCCTCAGCCTGTTGGAATCCTCAGCCTGTTAAAACATAGAGGGAATACCAGTATGGGTGCTTGGAAGTACAGACTTGGAAGTTGGGGTGCCCCTGAGTCAAGGATGTAGTAGTTTTTAATTCTTACAATAATGTAACAACACTGTACTCCCCAGAATAAAACTGACTTCATAAGTTGTATGAACTCCCCTCCCACTTCCCCCAAATTAGTCCTTTCTAAGAGCAGACTATGTGAAACCTGCTCCTTCCTGGTTTTCCCTCTTGGCAAAGAGACCCCTCCTCACAGACATACCCCACAGTCATCTTCTTAAGCCAGTGGGTCCCAACCAGGGTCATTATTTTGTACTCCAGGGGACATCTGATCACGTCTGGGGTGTATTTGTTATTACAATTGGAGGAGGAGGAAATAATGCATTTGATCTGATGGATAAAGACCAGGGCTACTGCTAAGCACAGCAGTAGCCCTACAAAGCACAGAATAGCCCAGAATCCTACAAAGCACAGAATAGCCCCTTACAGCTAAGAATTTTTGAACCAGAATGTCAATAATGCCCAAGTTGAGAAATCCTGCCTGAAATCCAAAGTGCTCTCTCTATCACTTTATCTGGACACTACCACTGTCTGTAGGTTTATTTGTCCTCCTCTGCCTTCTATACTCTGCACAGTGTTGCTCAGAGAATGAGGAGGAAGACCTCCAGAGTTAATGTGCTGTAATTTGAATCATAATTTTGCTTATTAAAAATAAAACTAAGACTGCTTTAGGGCTGAATATTAAATGGCAGGGTAATCTTATTACAGTACAGATTCTTAGTCCATGGGTCGGGGTGGAGCCTGGGAGTCTGCATTTCTCACCAGCTTCCAGGGGCTTGCAGATACTGTGACCTGGGATCACACCACAGCAGCGAGATTCTAGGCACTTATGATTCAGCAGTGAACAAAACAAAGACCCCGGTTCTTCGGGATCTTCCGGGCTGACCAGAAGTGTATTGGCACAAGGAAGGGTAGACAGGCTGAAGTCAGAGGTACTCAGAGTCTTAGAAAATCAGAGCTGGAAGAGAATTTAGATGTCTGATCAAATCTTCCATTTTAGAGGTCAGGAAACTGAGGGGAAGGGAGCTAGTCAAGTCATCTAGCTTGCTGAGGCAGCTTTTGGACAAAGCTGTTGGACGCCTGGTCCCCTGAATTGCCAGGGTCCTTAGGGACTTCTGGAGGGCAGAGCTTATTGGGATTCAGAGGTTTCAAGGGTGGAAGTCTGGGGACTTCTGCCACAAGATGACCCTATTACTCTGGACCCATGAAACCCTGATTTCCTACTTTTTTCATCGTCTGTGATAACACACTGGCAAACACGAGATATATTTAGGGGAGCTGTTAGATTTCCTTACAAACCATCTGTGTTTCTTGCACTAAATATGTAGCAAGGATAAACCAGAGCAAAACTATGGAGAAGTCACCTCTGAATGCACCCAGCCATTTAGTCAGCAAGCACAGAGAGCAAATGCCAACAGAATTTGGTTAATCAAAACCACGTCCTAATCTGGAGTGAAATAACAAATCCTGAACACCCGAACACAGACATCACCCAGAGCTGCAGATTAGAGAAACGTCTGCATGGTGTCAAAAAGCAATTGCTTCTTCCACGGCCCATACCGGGAACATAAACTTTTAAATTCATGCCAGTTCGATCGCAACAGTAGCAAATTTCAGGAGTAGAAAGAAGAGCAACAGCTGGTACATCAGGCATTAATAATATAACAAAGGAAGAAAAAAGAGAAACTTTTCATTAGTACTTTTTTGAGGTAGATTTATTATTTATTCCTTTGCCAATATTCAAACAGGCAGGCAGTAATAAAACACTCACAAAGATACTTTAAAATAGTCAAGGCATCTGCTTTACCTCAATTTCCTTTTACAAGACTGGAAATCAGGAATCCTGTGCAACAGCTGGTTAAAAAAATATCTTCAGTATCAAAAATATTGTTTGAACATCATGACTTAGAGTTTAGTTTTGATTTTATTCTCAGCCAGTAGACAGTAGACAATGGTCCATGAGGGAAGGCTGATTGTAAATCAGCCAAGTACTACTTCCAAATTTTTGACTCCTCAATTAGGATTATTTTGTTTGAAACAAGGCGTTGACAAAGCCCACTGTTCAGTAATTAGCATCCTGTCAGGTCTCTCCAATCAAGACCAGCACTCTGCAGCTGGTCCTAGTTAAAAAGTGCATTGTGGGCACTTCTGGCCTGACCCTCAGGGGGCCCCTGCTATGCTCACAACCGCCTTCCCTGCACACACTATAATTACCATTTACAGGATAAGAAGGTTTCCTTGTCCAGAGGTTCTGAGAGCTTTTGCCTAATCTGAATGACCTGTCACCCATCTGAACCTATTTGATAAATGTCCATCCTTGGCGATGTAGACACTGGTATATCTTCCCAAGACAGAGAACTCCTCTAAAGAAAGAAGAGTTGAAAAGGATCATTGTCAAAAGAAAACAAATGAATCACGGAAAAGCAAGAAACAAAGGACCCCGGAGGAGAGGTGCATCCTCCCTGGCTCGCCTTTGTCATTCCTCTGGGTGCCACGGCCTTTTCAGGAACCGTCCCTGGTGTAGAGGTTGTGGTCCCTGATATAGGCGATGACTGCATCCTGGAGCAGGTACTTCACACTGTGCCCTAGGCCAAGGGCCTGCCGGATGTAGGTGGAGCTGATGTTGTTCTTCACCGGCTCCGTGACCAGGTGAATGTTGTGCTGGTACCTCTGCAGGATGGGTGAGCCCGAGATGTAGCCCTTGGGATCATGACCAGCCCTGCCCACACACACGAGGCCGAACTTCTCCACTATTTCCTGGATGTGCGTCTCCTTCCAGAGGTTGGGGGTCTCGAAGGTCTTCAGGACATCGGCCCCGCAGAGGAGCTTCAGCTCAGGCATAGCTGGAAATGCAAGGGTATGACAGGCAAGTCACCACCAGTAAAGACAATGTATTCCATTTGAACATTTCTCAAAATGCTCTTCTCTTCTTAGAATGTATTGGGGACTCAATGTCTCCATGTTCATGGTTTAAAAAGAAAAAGCATGTAAATGAGTCTGAAGCTACTTTAAGTAATAATTCAATCGACACATCTTTTGTTTAATCTAGACAAAGTGCCATGTAACACAAAACAGTTTTTTTCCTGTACTATTGTAGGGTAAGGAAAAATGTCAGGCTTTTCTGCCCTCCCGCCATCAGGATAGATGATGGATCCTTGCGGTCCTGAATGCATGCCTGATGGCGGGCACCTGGAGTAGGGTGTGGGCATAGGTAGATGGGATTCACCTGGGCTAAGCCTGTGCTTTTAAGGGCAGCGTCACGGGGACGCCAGCAGAAGCCGAAGAGAAGCCGAGAGAGAAGCAAGAGAAGCAGAAGCTGAGAGAAGGCCGGAGAGCCCAGATAGAGTGAAGACTTGCTGGGGGCTGGGAGGCCTACCAGCCTCCAGGCCCCCCAGCACCCCTGCCTGCTGTGTACTGGGTAAATCCTAATAAAAAGACCTGCAAAAAGCCACTAAGGACTCTGACTCCTTCACCCGGTCTGCATGGGATCAGAAAACCTGCACTGTGTCCTTTCCTGCCCTTTACAACTATATAGCAAGCGCCTGTGTGTGGGTGCTGGATCTGCAGCCCAGTAGTCTAAAATGGTCTAAAGGAACCCACATCTATGGAAGGTCAGCTTTTGCAAGTCCTCGGATTGAAGAGCTCTAAGCCTCCATCAAGTCACTGTCCTTCTTGAAATCAACTTCAGAATTCGATTTCCCCAGCACCTCGTATACTGTTATAAGTAAAATCTCATTATAAAGATAAATTATAAAGGATCCTGTATAACCAAAGGTCTCTAAGACTCCATCAGATGACCTTTTCATCTGTTCTCAATAAAATAAAGCTCTAGAAAAAAACCGATCAATGTGGATAATCCTTTGGCATTCTCTCTAACAGATGATGATTGTGATGATAAAAGAATACCTAACATTTATTGGGGGCTTACTATAAGCCCTGTAGCTAAGTGCTGCGTGTCTAAAATCTCATCTGATCCTCACAACAACTTCACGAGGTAGTTGTAACTACTGTGCCTTTTTTGTGGAGGGGGAAACTGAGGCACACAGACTGGTGAGTGACTTTCCTGAGGTCACTTCTAGACAGAGGAGTCCGGATTCACATCTGTCCACCAGACTCCAGGAGGAGGGGTATTTGTAACTGCTAGGCTCTGGCGCCGCCTGCTGGCAGGAGCATGCATCACCACGGAGAAGCCCTTTCTTCATGTTTCCTGACACCATTCATGTTCATATGCCTTTCAAACGAGCTAATCTGCAAAGGGAAAGCCGAGTCCATGCTAGAAGCCAGTAAAAAGATTGCTGTTCCTTCTGAAAGCCAATTCTAGCTTTGGTAAATGGCAAAGACTGGGCTCCCAGAGTGCTGGCCTCTCTCAGCTACCAAGAAACCTCAGTTAGGAGCGGCTTAGGGCTACCACCTGCTGGTGGTGAAAGCTTATCTAAATGTTAATTTAGGCCCCTCTGTTGTGGAACCTTCGAAGGAATCTGGATGGGGACTAGAGATGACTTTGCAAAGGAGCACTAGACAGCTGTGAGATAGAAAGTGAGATATCTGAGACATCACGGAAAGGTCTGAGTTCTAGCATTAGAAGGGCTCTTATGCTGAGGGAGCCAAGAATCTTTCTTCTCTGGACCTCAGTTTCCCTATCCATGAAATGCTAGTCATTGGATTTCTTTACTCATTTAAAAACACCAGATGTAATTATGTAAATACCCCTTTCAAATACTCTAGCAGAATAATGTTATAATAACATCTTATTGCAACACTTATAATATAGGTATTTATGAATTCTCAGGGTTAAGAACTAAGGACTTCAGACTTGAATCCTGGCTCCACCATTGTAGGGTAAGGAAAAAATGTCAGGCTTTTCTGCTCTCCCGCCATCAGGATAGATGATGGATCCTTGTGGTCCTGAATGCATGCCTGATGGCGGGCACCTGGAGTAGGGTGTGGGCCTAGGTAGATGGGATTCACCTGGGCTAAAACTGGGCTTTTAAGGATGGCATCATGGGGATGCCAGCAGCAGCAGAGAAGCTGAGAGAAGAAAAGAAGCAGAGAGAATGCTAGAGAGAGCCCAGATAGAGTGAAGACTTGCTGGGGGCTGGGAGGACTGCCAGCCTCCCAGCCCCCCAGCACCCCTGCCTGCCATATGCCTGGTAAATCTAAATAAAAGACCTGCAAAAGCCACTGAGGACTCTGACTCCTCCTTTACCCGGTCTGCTGGATCAGAAAATCTGCTCTGTGGTCTTCCTGCCCCTACAGCAATTCAACAGTTGTGACCTCAACTTAAAAATGAAGCTATTAGCAGTACTTACCCCATGGGATGGTTTGAGAGTTGAATGAGTTTATGAAGGGGAATACTTAGTGTTTGGAACAGAGTGTGACATGTGTTAGCCGCCAGCCACCCACATACTTCTCCACTAGTCTATACGCTGAAACATCCACTCTACAGTTAGGGAGTATCTCCCAAGGGCCTTGTCTTTTAAAATCAATAGAACCACACTTATTATTCAGTAACTCACACTTCACTAATGTGGGCAGATCCTATAGCTCACAACATACAAGTAGATGGAGCTGTTCTGCATGTGTGAGGTTTTACACTATTTTCTTTTTCATTCAACGGCTGTAATAAAGCAAGAAGAAAGGGCGTGACCTTTCAGGCAACTGGGTGGTTTTATAAAGTCTTCCCATGGGGGAGTTAAGTGATGTGCATTTAATTCTATTGCCACCAAGGATCCCCCTGCTTGCACAGGTCAGAGAGCAGAGCAGACACTCCCTTTTATTTTTGAGGGATGAATTCCACATATCAGCTTTGATATTAGATACCAGTTGATTCATTAACAATGATATTAAGGAATATTAAGGAATACAGTCTACTCAGGCCTTGCTTAGAGGGGTCAAGTGCCAGCCCACCTCAGCCCCCCAAATCAAAGGCAGGTCTGTGGGGCTGGTGTGATGGATCATGACTTGCAGCAACATGTGCCTGAGCTCCTGACCCTGGGCAGTCTTGGCATCAGGCCTCACAGAGGCCTTCATGCCTTCCTTCCAAGTCCATTCCCACTACTGCTCAAAATCTTTAGATCCAGTGACTCTGTTTAGTCCAATGTGGGCATGTCTGAAGTGTCAAATACAGGCTGCCAATTTGGTTTGTCCAAGAGTGACAGTAATAGACATGGGGGTCTAAAAGCATTTTGAGGGCAATGTGCTCTGGCTCTGACTAGCGAGGGGTCTGGAGAATCTGGTGAACAGAGATTTCCACAGAACATGAAGATGTGCCACCAGGACCTTTTTCTTGGAACATTCAATAGCCCTAACTCTTAGACGTTGAAGAGTCAGTCTTGGATTCAAATTTCAGGCCAGCTAGGACCCTGGGCTAGTTCTAGCTGATGGGCCTGTTTCCTAGGCTGTAAAATGGGAATAATAAACCCGCGCCCCCCCCAGCCCCCGTGGAAGCTATGGAAAGTGAGAGGAGAGAACACAGGGAAATTTCCTGTTTAGTGCAGCGTGTGGCCATGGCCATGTGGGGTGGTGTCTGCTGTGGTGCCCCACAAGAACAAGGGACTGCTGTGTCTAAATAGGAGCATAGCAGGACTGAGGCCGGGTATTGGCATCTGAAGGGCAGCACCCAGATTCCATCTCAGTGTGAGATGGAAACAGATGAGGTATCTGCTGGGGTCCTATGGAGAGGGAATCCTCAGAAGGTCGTTGGGCTGTGCTCAGCCCCCAGGAAGCACCTTCACAAAAGACAGACGGAGTCGGCTGTTAAAGGACTCTGGCATCATCCATCCCCAAGTGTCACAGCCAGCGGCCCGGAACACAGCAATCCGCACGAGTGTGGATGAGCCCAAGGGCTGCAAATCACAGGAGTGATGGGCAAGCAGGGCTCTGGCAGCTGGAAAACGCTGAGCTCAGCCTGTAATTTGCAATCCCTGAGCAGAGCGGCACACAATAAAATACACAGCACATAAAATGGCCCTTTAGAAATCCGTCGCTAGTAACACACAAACCGCCTCTTCAGAAGTCAAACTTGTGCTGGAAAAACCCCACTACCTTTTTAAATTGCTCTAGATGTTTTCCTCTGGTGGCAAACATGAAATCTGTGTCCATTATGGAACATATGGAAAATACGTAAGTCTTTAACTAGAAAATAACAGCAACAGACACAACTCTGCTTTCTACAAATAAACTGTCCATATTTTAGTGTAATTCTTTAGTCTTTCGATTTAGACATAAATATGGATGTGAAAGTTTATTTACATATTTTTATGTACATAAGATTATATACACAGCATTGTGTTCTGATTTTTCCCATTTTCTTTATGTGTTTCTACAGATCATGGAAACCTTTTGTGTAGACCCTTCATCCTCTGTATAAAGTAGAGTTTACTTACACATTCCCTTATATTTGAACATGGAGGTTGCTTTTATTTTCTGCCACTATAAAAACTGCTAGGATAAATACCTGCATAAATTTCTGCATAAATCTTTGTCCCAATTTCTAATTATTTCCCCAGCTAGATTCCTTTTAGATTCCTAGAAGGGGAATTTATCAAGCAAAGGGCATGAACATTTTTAAAGCCCTTGATATATTTTGGTAAATGGAAAAGCCCTCTTTACAATCATCATAATCTGCCCTTCTTAACAGTTACCTTAGAAGAGAGCAAGATGAGAAGGTTTTAGGGTGTGAATAGAGAGGGGGGGATAAGGGACCAATCTTCAACACAATAGGGCCAAGCAGAGTAGGCTAGTAGCCCCTCAAAGTGTATCTGAAAAGAATATGGGGTGAGCGTCATTGGTGGGAGCTCATCTTAATGACCGCAGCCCGGACTGGTTTCACAGGAATGGAGGCTCCAAATGAACCTCACAGGACAGAAGGGCTTTCAACAGGGGAGCCAAGAAGGGAAGGGGGAGAAGGGGACAGGCTAGGCAGACCTGAGACAGAGATCCTGGAAGCATCTGCAGAAAGGGGAAGCATGAAAAGCTGGGCCCCTCTGCCTGGCATCCCTGTGACACCAGGGTGCTGGGCTCCCTAGCTCTTCCTGGCAGCTCCAGCATCCCCAGTGGTACGGAGTACTCTTTCTAGCCTTGGTGCCTTACTCAGTTGCCCTCAGTTGCTCCTTGGCCCAGAAATGCCTCCAGATCAACTAGTAAGCCTCCTGTCAAAGTCACTTACCCCAGGCAGCCTCCCTAATGGATGTCTGGCCTTACCACCAATCGCAGGCTGTCTCTGGCCCAGGGCAGGGAATGCAGCAGACTGGCTCTGTTCTCAGCCTGAGCCCAGAGCCTGGCCCAGGAGGTGCTCCGGGAATGTGTGTAGAACCCTATTAGGAGAAACTGCTGAGTGAGGGAGGACTCAGAAAGAAGGCAGAAGGCTGAGGCTGAGATGAAAAGCGGGCACTGTGCTCATGATGGGGAAAAGGCGATAGGAGACAGGTGGAAAGAAACAGTGGAGGCAGTTGGAATAAATCTTGTAGAAGCTGATTATGTAAGGAACTCTATGACTCCTTGACTCCTACTCATTGCATACAGTCCCCATAACTAGATAAAAAGTACCCCCCCCTTCAGAGTGCCTATTAAAACATCCAGATTCCCAGTCAGCAAGTCTGAGGTATAACCTGGGAACTGATGATTTTATACCAAGTCTTGCAGGTGGTCCTGCAGTGAGTGGACCCTGGAGTAGCATTAGAGGATGACTGCGTGACATCTTTCGGACCTGGTGGCATTTTCAAATCATTTTAGAACAGTACTTCCCAATTTGTGTTCTGGGGAGCACCAATTCTGAGAAATACTGATATGTATTACAAGGGGCCCCTAGATTAAAAAGTAGAAAGAATGCAATTTCCCCTTCTTGCAGAGTCACAAGCCCATGAACATAGTCAATGCTCTGAAAAGGCCACAAAAAGAAATAATTTTAGGTCTGTGTAACTGCAGCATTCCTGAGCCCATCTGATCTGGAAAGAGTTACCACCAAACAAAGTTGGGAGACCCACTACAGGACACCTGCAGACAGACCTGCTGGAATTTCAGCTCAGTGGGGCTAGGGCTTCCTGCTCAGCCCCTGTCACTTCCTGTCCTCCCATCACCAGTGCTCCGGTCTGTTTGCATGAGGAGCTGTGCACGAGAGTCCCAGCATCCGGGATCCCACTGGAGAAGGAAGGCAATTTGAAATCACAGTGGTCAAAGTTCCATTAAAACCCCAGGAACTGATAACAGGGTAGAACCCAGAGTTAGAAATTAGAAGGGTGATCCAAATTGACTTTAAATTCCCTTAAAAGGAGGTTTCCTCTTCTGAGGAAACAATTTAAAAACTGCTATAAGCATTAGTCTCTCTGTTGAAGGGTTATAATAGCACATTTTGTTTTTAAAAAGGCTAAGACTTTTAGAAGAACCCTTGCATCCTTCCTCAGCTTGTCCCAGGAGGGCCCAGACTATAATCCCCGTCATAAGCACAAGTCACAAGAGGTAAACCCCCTTGGGCAGGAAACAGCAAACAAGCATCACGATTTCAAGGTGTGGTGGTGGATTGTTTCATTTGACCTTTCAACCTGGGAAGTGTCACCCAAACAGGGGACCTCATAATCAGTCAGTTCTCATGTGACTCCCTGACATCTCCCCTCCCACAATTGGGTCAGCACCCACCTGAGGGGCCTGGAGAGTGAGTCTTGCCATGGTCTGCGCCTTCCATCTGGGGCAGAGATCCAAGCAGCTGGTTGTGATGATGCCTGTGTTGCAAACATAGGGCTCAGGGTGTGTCCAAACATCCTACAGTCCCCCACAGCCACCCAGATTTAAGGGGGTCTCAGATTTTAAGTCTCAAAATGCTTCTGTCCATCTTAGATAGCTGAGGGCATACTATTTGCCACGTGCTGATACAAAAAATAGATGCCAACAGGTTCCCATGGAGTGCACAACCCAATCCAGTTCTCTGCCTCCTGTGAGCCCTGGAGAAAGTGGGGAGATAAGCATATTTCTACTTGTTTCACATTTTCTTTCACTATCTCACTTTTTAAAAATGTTGAGCATGCAATTAGGACATGGGCTCTTAAAATCGGACAGGCCTGAGTTGAAAGTACAAAAGTTTCATTTGTAAAGTTGGGATAATAACATCTACTTTAGAGATCTCATGAAGGGGGATGAGCTGTGTCGCAGGAAGGGAGCACTGGCTCCCAGCAAAGACGCTAGCTCTTATCACAAGCCAGGGTTTGAGGAGGAGAGAGGGTGATGGCTAAGAGTCCGGCTTGGACTCTGACTGCCATGGTGGAATCCCAGCTCCCCCACCGCCAGCTGTGTGACCCGGTCTGTGTGACTGGTTCAGCACCTGCAAAACGAGGAATGATGATGGCGCTTGACTCCTACGGGAGGTTATGAAGATTAAAGGAAGGTGCACTGAGCAGTGTGCAGCCTGAGCAAATCTCATTACTTGTTAGCATTTCAAATATGATTAGACTTACACCAATTTGGCATGCCTGGCTTTTTAAGCAATCTATCTTTTGCAAATCAAGAGATATCCATGCCTTCTTTTAAAAAATCAAACACAGGCAATTATTATGTCTCATATCAATTTGACTTCCATCTTCCACCTATTGTACCATGCACTTACTAGAGCTGTATTTGGGACGGAGCAGTGCCTAGTGGAAAAGCATGGGCTGTGCGGCCAGAATGGGCGGGTTCAAGTTTAGGTTCTCCTGTTTGTATGAGCCTGGGTAGGTTGCACCCTCAGTGCCTCACTCACCTTGTGTGTCACCTGGTCACAAAAGCTTATCTATACCGAATACTATATGCAAGATTAAGTACCGTATACAAGACCTTACAGCTAAGACCATGATGACAAAGTGCCTCCACATGTTGGGGATGTGGCTGGATGCTGATTTTTTTTCACTTTTTTTTAAAGATTTATTTATTTATGCATACAAGAGCTGGGGTATAGGCCAGAGATGAGGGGGGTGAGAGGATCCACCAGAGACAGAGTAAGGAACAGGATAGGCAGACTGAATGAAATACACTGCTGAGGGGAGCAGAGGGCGAGACAGGAGAGGTCTGTTTCGCCATGTGGGTTTCTCCCTGGCTGGCCGGGGATCTATGCTGATTTTTACTGGGAAAAGGTGCAGCGTGGAGGTTAAGTTCTAAAAGTAGACTGCCTGGACTGGAATTCTGGTTCCAACTAATAGCTGTGGAATTCTGGTAAGCAATCTCCCTCTAGTTTCCTCATTTATAGACTAGGGATAATGACAGTACCCACCCCAGAGAGTTGTTGTGAGGATTAATTGAAGAGTTTAACACTGGTGTAGACACAAAATGTGTCCATAAAATGTGAACAGGACTTAATCTATTCATTCTTAAATATTTAGTACCTAGGAAACTGCTTACCTAAAGTTGGCTGAATTCAGGACTCATGGAAGGAGTAGATGAATAAGTACTTTTAATTCTGCTCTAAATTTCTTCCTAATGCTCTCAGAGATTCAGCTGAGTGTTTTTAGGGCCTAACTGAACTCCAGGTTTCCCTTATTGTCTTATTGAGTTTTGGTAAGCTTCACTCTGAGGATTCACTCTGGGTTGGTCTGGAATCTTGCATCAGACTAAAGTGGATTTGGATTTGTGTTTCACCTTCACTTTCTAACTGTGGGGCTTTTTTTTTTTTTTTAAGATTTATTTATTTATGCATACAAGAGCTAGGGTACAGGCCAGAGATATAGGAGGGTGAGAGGATTCACCAGAGACAGAGTGGGGAACAGAACAGGCAGACTGACTGAAATATACTGCTGAGGGGAGCGGCGGGTGAGACAGAAGAGGTCTGCTGCGCCATGTGGGTGGCTCTCTGGCCTGCCAGGGATAGAACTCATGCTGCAGAGGCTGCGGATAGCTTCATAGTGCACTGCTTAACACCTTGTGCCACCAGGGAGGCCCCTAACTGTGGGACTTTTAATGTGTTGCTGACCCTTTCAACGCCTCCATTTCCTTAGCCCTAGGGGTTGCTGAACTGACTAGCTCTTCCAGATGTGAAAGAGACATGGTAAATGATCAGTAAAAGGTGGTGATGAGCCTTTAAATTTACTTACCCGCAAGCTCCCAGTTCAAATAGACCCTACTTTATCTATTAGCTGAATCTCTGTGCAAGTGATTACTTTCAGTGCCAAATGCCTCATCTCATAGAACTCCACTCTGCCTTTGTGGGGCAGTGGCCATTGCTTCTTCCGGTTGCCTGCCTGTGTGGTACCCTGGTGTGCTCAGCCCTGAGTGTGAAGAGTGCCCTGTGTGGACACATTCTCTGTGTCCTCAGTAGGATCAGAGGGACTTTGTGGCAGGAGTAAAGTCGGCCACATTGCATTCCTGTTTGCAGATCACTGGTTCGGAAGATGACTGCAAGCAAGGTGTCCACGTGGAACAGACTGGGGCTCCAACACTTGTTTATTTGTTGTGTGACTGTGATTAACTTAGTCTTTATGAGCCTCAGTTTCTTCATCTGTAAAATGAGGACAACATAAGATCATATTTACTAAGGGGAACATAAGATGATGAGGACGATAACGACAATGATAATTGACCTCTTCACGTGGCATTGTGACTGAGGCCCTCGCCCTAAAATATGGGGAAAAGGTGAGAGAAATAAATTATCAAATACCCTAATAGCATGAAAGCCAACCCATATATTTTTAAAAATTAGATTCAAAATAAGCAGTCCAATAAGGAGAAGAATCTGCAATAAACCCCACCGTGAATTTATAGTGACTCTGTCACTGTCATTATGACATAAATTCACTGCGGACTCTATCAGGAAGGTACTAAATGGTGCAAAGGTGGGAAGAGGCTGGATTTCCACCATTCTTCTATAGCTACCCAATGTTACAATTTAAACAGATTTTCAATAATAAAAATTCTGGTAATTTTAGGAAACATTAGAAATCAAACACAATTTCTAATGCAATGAATGCACTTTGAAGATGAAGCTCACTTCAAATATTGAAAAATATCATAATCAGCCATCTCATAAAAGTGTGTTGACTGTATCAGTGGGTTCTCAACATTGGCTGCACAAAATAAAACATTTGGGGGCCTTTTCAAAATTATGCATGCCTAGACCCTACCCCAGACAAATCATAATCTTTGTGGGAGAGGGTTTGTGTGTAAACATTTTCAAAAAGCTTTCAGGCCATTCCTACATCAGAGTTGAGGCCACTGGTTAGAATGGATCTTGATACTAATTAGACATCTGTTTCACATTCATGTTTTTGGTAATTGAGGCTGTGTCCTCAATCCTGGTCACACATTAGAATCACTAGGGAGCTTTTAAAAATCCTGGTGCCTCACCCCAGACCCAGTCTCTGGGTAAGCCTGAATGGGCAAGCTTGAATCCCAAGGTGATTCAATGTGCAGTCAGGGCTGAAAATCATTGGACTAAAGGATTAAAGGATACAGTTAAAAAAAAGAGTGTGTTCAGGTCACACCTGCATTTTGCAGCAGCAGAATTAGAAATATTACATAGTACTGTAGTCAATTCCTATTTATCCATGAATGGCTTATGTGTTTTGAGGATAAATTATGGGCCAGTGTTATGGATACAGGGAGGGGAGCTAACATTATTAGGCACCTTCCATAAACCAGGTGTTTTGCCTACATCATCTCATTTAATTCACACAGTATCCCAGTGAAGCTAGTGTCATCCTCATTTTATTAGGTGAGGAATTGAGGCTTAGAGAGTCTAAATCACTTACATCAAGTCACTTAGCTAGTAAATTTAGCTTCCAGATCTGGGCCCTCCGCCATGCTACCTCTCACAAGGTGGAAGGGCGAAGCGTCTGTGTTTCTGGCAACGTATTACAGCTAAATGACTTGTTGGATTATCTATTGTTTTGTCTCTCTTCTCCCCTGTTAGCCTAGATAAATGAGAGCTGACTCTATTTCTTATTCTGAAAGGATGATGTAGATGTAAATTTATTCCTTATGTTTAAAAAAGAGAGGGAGCCCATGGACCCTAACAATTAGTTCACATTTTCTGTCCTTTTAATTTGGTAACAGGTTCTGAGTAGCACTGTCACTGCTATATGCTTCTAGATGGTTCTTTCCAAGCAAAAGGTAAGTCATTAGAATCAGGATATGGAAACTAAATGTTTACCTTTAATAAAAGGGTAAACATTTTTCTCCCAAGTGACTTTGAAGATAAGTAAAAAATGAAAACCAAACAGATTATGCACAGGCCTGCCAAGTATTCGACCTTGTCCTTAGCGCCTCCAAATAAATAAAAGACAAGGCCCACAATCTGCAATTCCTTCCAGCAGATCTGGCTGTCACTCCAACAGCCAGGAAGGTGGCACTTCCTGCTTCTCTAGCAAACTCTGCTAATGTTTCCCAGACACAAGTTAGTGGCCATTGTCCTAATAAGTGGCACTTGCAGGGGCTTTTACACAGCAAATTACTTCTGCTGAATGCTAACAGCAATTCTGAGAGGAAAAAAAAGCTGGAGTTACTGTTCCTAGGATTTTTAGGTTTTTCTCCTCTAATTTACATGAAAGTCTAGATTTATAGAATCCAAGATTTGTACAATTTGAAGATGTAGCTATAAGCTGGGTTTTCAACCCAGACAATGATGACAATAGTAAAAGGTTTCATTTAACTGAATATTCTTAGATGGTTTTCAGACAGGAAAGTGCTTTCATTTTTTAAAATCCTCATTAGGTTTTAGAGCCTACATTTTGCCAGTGAGAAATATGTCTCAGAGAGGTCAAGTCACATGCCCAAAGTCACACAGCTACAAAGGGCAGGCCCTGGAGCCCTGCACTACAGCCCTCTGCAAGAAGCCTGCATGTTTCTGCCAAGTACATCTTGAAGATGGTGGTTAGTGAGTTTTCACTCAGGATTTCTCTGAGGAGGAGGCTGCTGGTCTCTCTCTCTCTTTTAGGAGCATCACTGCTCCGATTTTGGTGGAGAAGGCCTCACCAAGGCCTGCAGAGCCCCACTAGACACTGTTTCCCCCATTTATCCCTGGGCTGCTGTCTGCAGACTCCTCCCAGGGCCCGTTTGCCAACCAGAACATACTCACTGTTACCTCAGCACCTTCACCGTCTCCACCCACTGCGCCTGCTCACTCTCCCAGGGGTCCACCCGGATCCAGTCTGATGTCTGCAGAGCCAGCCGGGCCATGGCCACTCGGTGCCGGGCAGCTGCGAGGTCTTTCTTCCCATACTTGTCATTGACAGGTGAGATGATACCCCCGATCACCTGGTACAGTCCTAGGCAGGGGAAAGCAGAGGCGGTATGGATATAATGGTGCACCACCTGGCAGCCTGGATCCAGGCAGGTGATGAAAATCGCTGTCTTGTCCTGAGTAGGAGTAGATCCTGGCATTCTGTGCTGCCTGGGCCAGCTCCCTCAGGCAAGGGCAAAGGCGGAACCATGTGCTTTGCCTCTGAGTCCTCTACAGCCCAGACTCGAGCTTCTGCTGGGAGGAAGCTGGGAGGCTGCAGCCAGGCAAGGCACCCTCACAGCACTGTGGCAGCAGGGTCAGAATATGCTTGAGAAACACCATGACTTCCCTGAGAGGGACATGATCAGGGTACTATCATCTTCTAATAAGATTGGACAATAGTTACATATAGTTTCTTAGTCTAATTAGGGGATGTCTGGCAAGTGCCTGTTCAAATCTTTTGCCCAGTTTTTGGGTTATTTGTCTTTTTAATCATTGATTTCTAGAGTTCTTCATATATTCCAAATACTAGCCTTTGTTGGTTGGTGATATGTATCTATGGCTTGTCTTATAGCACTTTTTATAAAGTTTTCCTTTATGGTCAGTGCATTTCTGTTAAATCTCTGTAGTTTTATTTTTCATACTTGGGTCTTTGTGCATGATGTGAATTCTAGTATTTTCCATTATGGTAGTCAATTACCCAAGAACAATTATCAAAAAGAGCCCTCCACCCCATTCATGCATCACCACATATCAAACATAAAATGTCCATTTGTGCACAGGTCTGTTCTTGTATTTGCCATTCTGCATTGTGGCTCTATTTGCCTATCTGTGCCCAATGTCACACTGCTTTGATTAATATAGCTTTGTATAACCATCTTAATATATAATTAAGCAAATTGTGACTTATTGCATTTTCCATATCAATTTTATAGACTTTGACAAGTTCCACCAAAAAAAAAAAAAAAGCACCACTCCCCACCCTCCCCCACCCCCAACTCCTATTATTTGCTAGGAATCAAATTGAGTCTGTAATTCAATTTACAGAGAACTAACATCTGATATCGTGACAATATTAAATGTAAATGAACTTAATGTTCCAGTTAAAAGTTACTAATTGTCAAACTTGACAAAAATCCTGCCCCCGCCATCCCCAATCTATGAGCATGGTATAACTGTTCATTTATTTAGGTCTTATCTGTTTTACAGTTTTTCCTGTAGAGAATTTACACATCTTTTCCTATTTAAATTTTTTGATTCCACTGGAAATGACATTTTTAAGCTTCTTATTTTCTGTTTGTTGCTGAAGTACAAATATAATATTGATTTAAATGTTGAGTGCATTATGTAACAACCTTGCTAAACTCTCTTAGCAATTCTAATAGTTAATCTGCAGATTACCATCTGAAAATGCTGACAACTTCCTTCTCCATTTCCAATCTTTATATCTTTATTTTTCGTGTTGCATCGTTGGAGACCTCTGCTATAATTCTGAATAGAGATGGTATTAGCAGGTATCCTTTTCTTACTCTCATTTTCAAAAGACAAGCTTTCAAGTTTCATTATTGCATAGAACATTTGCTGCAAGTTTCCTCAGATAGCCTTTTTTCAGCTGTGGCATAAACAATGCCACACACTCATTAAGACCCATTTTTAAGTTTGTTCTTTCTGGGTACACTGAATTCATAATATTTCTGTTCTTGAAATTAGGTTGGGTTTATGTGATCTAGTTATAGTCAATAGTGAAGTGATGTTTGTCCCAACTATACTTGGTCATAAAAACTCTTGCATGACCCTCCAACTCTCTTGTTGTGAAACTGAAAGGTACATAGTGAACATAACAAAGCCATAAATTGGGCTGACTAGGACTCCTGAGATGCAGCATGAAAGGGAACTGCCCTGTAGATCTTCTGAACCTGCAGGAGATTTATTTGATGAGAGAGAAACTTCATTTAATGTGTTAAGCTCCTGAAATTGGGGAATTTGTTTATTGCAGCCTAGCCTGATCTATCCTCACTAACATGTTACCTAAAGAGCTATTTCTTGTTATTCCTACTTTAAGATCTTCTGTCATCAATGAATTTTAGCAATTGTTTTCTCTTTGAGTCTTAAAGTGACTATGATTTTTCTCATTGAGTCAGTTAATATAGTGAACTGCATTGACTTCTCTATCATTAAAAATTGCATTCCTGAGACAAACTCGATTTGGTCAAGATGTATTATCTTTTTAACATATTGATGGATTCACTTTGCTTATCGTTCAGGTAATAAGAGAGGCATGTAATTTTCTTAGTGCATAATCAGGTATGGTACCAAGGTTACATTAGCCTTATAAAAACTGTTAGGGAGTTCCCTCTTTTTCTTTTTTCCTTTTCCTTTTTGCACAGAAAAACTGGGGTGTAGGCCAGAGGTGTGGTGGGTGAGAGGATTCACCAAAGACAGAGTGGGGAGCAGAACAGACAGATCTACTGAAATACAGTGCTGAGGGGAGCAGCAGGAGAGACAGGAGATGTCTGCTGCACCATACGTGAATTAACTCCCTGGTTGGGGACCTGACTCAGGCCAAATTCAGGCCATAGCGGTGATAGTGCTGAGACTTAACTGCTAGATCACCAGGGAGACCCTAGATACCTCTTTTTCTATGCATTAAAGGAATTTGTGTAGGATTGAAACTTTTGTGTGTGTGTGTGTGTGTGTGTGTTTGGTAGTACTCACCAGTTTAGTTATTATAGGCTGGAGTTTAATTTGTTTGAAACTTTTTGACTGCTTTTTTGCTTTCATAGTTATAAAATGATTCATATTTTTATTTCTTCATTATAATTTTGGCAACTTACATTTTTCTAGGATTTTGTACATTATATCTATATTTGAAATTTATGGGCATAAGGTTGCTCACAATATATTCTTATCTGTTTTGTGTCAACACCATCTGTAGTGATTACCTTTTTATTCTGAATGTTAGTTGTGTATCCTTTCTTTTTTGTTGCTCAATCTTGCTAGAGATTTGCCACTTTATTAGTCTTCTCAACGAACCATCTTCTGGTTTTATTGATCTTCCTTACTAAATGTTTTTCATTTCATCAATTTCTGTTCTAAATTTATTCTATCCTCTCAATTTTTGTCACCATTTTACTATTTGTTCTCTATTTTTTAACTATTTATTCTCTATTTACTATTTGTTTACTATTTGTTCTTGTGATGGGTGCTAAGCTAACTAATCTGTAGTTTTCTTACTGTCTAACATATATAGTTTGTGTTATTTTCCAATTTAACTAATTTGCTGTTTGCCTTATTTTCTAATATACCTGTTTCTGCTTATAAAAATGCCCATATTATGTCTTTACTTGCATCCCACAAGTTTGATATGCTGTGTTTTCATGATTAGTCAAAGCATTTTCTAATTTCCATTATTATGTCTTTTCAAATCCATGAATTATTTGGAATTTTTTTCCTTTACTATAAAACACATTTAGATTTTTGGTAATCTTTTTATCATTGACTTCTAGCTTAGCTGCACTATAGTCTGAAAACATATTCAGTATTGATTTTAATCACTTGTAATATGTTGACATTGGCTCAATGTCCTGGATATGGTCAATTTTGGTCAACGTTCTATGTTTGTGTAAAAAGAATGTGTATTCTATGTTTGGATGCAGTGTTCTATCCATTTCTATCCATGTAGTCAAGATTGCTATTTAAATCTGTATTATTAGTGATGTGTTTGTCTGTTGTATTAGTTCCTAAGAGAAGGGTGTTAAAATCTCCCTCCCTAGATTTTTGTTTTTCTTTTTAGTTCTTTTAAATCTTTCAGTGAAATAGCTTCTTTATCTCTAGAAATGTTTTTTAACTTTCAAGTCCATATGTTTAACTTTATGAGTCTCAATAGTTTTATTTGGTCAGTATGTTTTTTCACCTTTTTTCATTCAACCTTTCAATCTTTTGGTTTAGGTAAGTCCTGTAAAAAAAAAAATTAAATATCTTTTGTCAAGTTTGACAATTACAGACTTTCCACTTGAACATTAAGTGCAGTTACATTTAGTGTGTATGCTGATATATTTAAGTTTAAAGCTACCATCTTATTTTGAGTTTTCTTTTTATCATACGAGTTTTATTATGTCTTTTCCCCCTCTTATTCTGCCTCTCTTTGGAATTTCACTTTTTTCTTTCTTATATTGGAAGTTACATATACAGTCTTATATCAAAAGTAATCAAGACCTTTACCCCCTTTGTTAACAATGCAAGAACCGTTGAGTTCTGTGACTCCACCTTCCATCTTCCCAACTTACAAGTTATTGTTATAGGTATTTTAAATCTACTTCTTCATAATCCTATTAGAATATAATCCCTTTACTAGATCTAGAATATTCTTAGTTGTTAACTCTTTAGAAACTCCCTCTGCTCCTTTTCCTTTTCCATTTTCCTAGCTCTCCGATTATAAATATGTTACTTCCAATTCTCTTCCTCTTGTCTCTGGGAATTTAAAAAATACAAAACCCCTCCCCCGCCTCCCAACCAAAAAACACTTTCTCTCTCTGCTCCACTGTGGATAATTTCATTTGATCTACATTCCATTTCATTAGAATTCCAAAGTCTATACTTTGTGTTTTCTAATCTGATCCCAAATCATTCATTAACTTTTGAGTCTTTTAATCTATAACGCATATATTGCTCCATTTGTCTATACATTCGTTGATTTATTTCATTAGCATCATGGAGTTTTAAGGACACAAATTCTCTATTTTATTGATTGCTACCTAAGTATTTCTTTTTTTTTTTAAGATTTATTTATTTATACATGTAAGAGCTGGGGTAAAGGCCAGAGGTCTGGAGGGTGAGAGGATTCACCAGAGACAGAGTAGGGAACAGAACAGGCAGATTAACTAAAATACACTGCTGAGGGGAATAGCGGGCAAGACAGGAGAGGTCTGCTTTGCCATGTGGGTTGCTCCCTGGCAGGCTGGGGATCGAACTCGTGCTGCAGAGGCTTTGGATTGCTTCATAGTGCAGTGCTTAACCCCTTGAGCCACCAGGGAGGCCCGACCTAAG